AAATAATTTAAACGATCTTTGGAAATATCATTATAATTTATTTAAAAATCATTCAAAAGAAAAATAAAATTTTTTATACCTTTTTTATAATTGTATGATATCATTTTTTATAGTATGATATCATACGAAATAATTTTTATATTTTTTATACTTAATAATTATTAATTATTTAAAATATCAGAATACTAAAACAATCTTATTGATTGGAAAACAATTAATTAAAACTTTGTTAATAATATAATAAATGCATTATAGTGTATAATTACATTGTGAATTTCTTGCTATATATCAAATATACTGTGGCACTGATCTCACATAATTCCTGATATATAATCTCATATAAATAATCTGCAACTGTTCTTCATTTCTGAATAGAAGATCGATGATTGTTTTATGTATATAAATATTGTATGCACGAAACAAAATGAAACAGCATAATAGTACCAGAAATTCTAGCAAAACAATCATATCCTAGATATAATTTTGCTACTATTTATTATCACATAAAAAATCATAGAGAAATATATCATAAAAAAATATTAATGATCTTAATTTTAATTCTTTTTGTATTTGTAAATTATTAAATTAGAAATATTTTTTATTTAATCTACTTTTTAAAAAAATTGTTTTTACATATAAGTAACTTTTTACATATAAATTACATATTTTATACTAACCGCACATTCTTGTATACTTGATTGCCAATCTTCTGTATTTTGTAAAAATCCAGCAATTGCAGTTTTTAAAACTCGTGAAAATACTTCAATTTGTTGAGCAGCTGTTGAAATACTTGTAATTTCACCTTGAAATCCAGCATCAGATATAAGCTGTCAAAAATATATACAAAAAAAAAATACATTTATAAAAATTTAAGAAAAAAAACTTTTATAATATACATAAAATATATATTAATAACTTTTGATTTATAAATAAATATATCATATATATATGATACATTTATTACATATATATATATATATATTTTACAATATATATAATAAATATATAAAATATATGTTGAATTTTGATTTGTAAAGTTTAGTTCTTAAAATCATTAATATTATATAATAATAAAAATTAATAATATAAATTAAATCTAAAAGTAAATATAAAACATTTTATAAAAAATCTAAATTATGAGATTACCTTTCTCTATCTTTTTACCTTTATTGTAAAGTTTAACATCAAGCAGTCTGGATATTCTTCTGCAAGTCTGTAAATAAGTGATCGCCAAGTGGGATGTTGTATCATTTCTGTTAACCAAGCAGGAGTCTAATGCATAAAATATTAAATTTTAAATATTAATTAAAAATTAATCTATAATTCAAAAATCAAATAAAAGTTTACAAACTTACTTCTCCCTCCTCTGTGAAGATTTTATCTGCTTTTTTGGGATCAAATGTTTTTAATATCATGTCCTTTAAATTATTTTCTACCATTGCTTGAACATCTGTAACTTTAACTCCAGCAAGAATAAGCCACTCTGCAAGAAGATTTGCCATTTGTGCACAAGCTGTATAATTTTTAGATAATAATTCTATTACTTGTTCTGGATTTCCACCAGCTTGAAAATATCTATAAATTAGAATAAAAATAATATTTTAAAATATAAATATTTTTGTTTGAATTTTTTTAAATAGTTAATAAATTTAGAAATATCAATTTTATATTTGTTCATTTATATTATAAAATTAAAATTATATTATAATTAAATTATTAATTATTATAAAAAATAAATTATAAATTATTATTATAATATAATTTTCATATATCAAAATACACAATAAATAATATAATTTCAACAATAAAACTGTAACAATAATTGAAATTCAATATATATAATTAAATGCTATAATAATTATATGAAATAATTATATCGTTATAAAATATTATACCTCTTAAGTTGTGCAAAAATACCAGGCTCCATAATATAATCTGGTGTTTTAAATTTATCTAAACATTCATTTAATATCTCTTGAGGATTATCAAAATTATCTTCTCCACTACAATCTTCAGTTCTTGTCATTTCTTCTGTCCAAGTTCCACGATCTTCATCATAATCTGATTCCATTATTTCTAAAAATAATAATATTTTATAATGTAATATTTAAACTTAATTTTTTTTATCTTTTTATCTTTTTTCATTCATTTATTATTTAGGAGATATTGTTAAAACAGCTTGTACTTTAATATTTAATGTATACAATTGAAACTTAACCTAAAACTTATTTCGTATTTAAAATGGAATGTTATTAATGTTCTTTAATTATTTAATTTAATTATTTAAAATAAAATAAAAATGTTATTAAAGATTATATATTTTATATAAATATTATTAAAATTTAAAATTTTATTTTTATAATTTTTTTTTTACAAAATTTAATATTTTTTTATATTGTTAAATACAAAATTAGTATAATTATGTAATAATATCAAAAAATAAAATTCAAAGTAATTATAAAAATTTACTATAATTATTAGTATTTTGGATGAAAATATAAATAAACATACTTATAAAATGCAGTTATCCTAATGTGTTATAAGATATCTTTATGTATTTACATAGCATGTATTAACATTCGTATAAATTTTAAAAATAGGTTAACTTATTTATAAATATATGCAAAATTTTATAATATTTTTATAAAATTTAATTCTTAAAATTATATAATATATATTATTGTTATAATTAATTAATTAATTTTAAAAATTATTTCAATTTTTTAATTATAAATTTAACATCTAAATCTTTTTATTATTTTACATCAATCAAATCGTCAATTTAAAAACTGAAATACAAACATATATTTTTTCACATTATATATAATGCTTTGGTAAAAAATTTATAATGTTTTATAAATTTCAATATGTAATATTTCAAAGTAAGACTTTTATGAAAAAACAGAATTTCTCGTGTAATTGATACAATATAATACAATACAATACAAAAGTCTTATTTATTTAATCAATAAAAGATAAATTTTTTTATCAACAAATTTTGTTTTATATCATAAATAACATATAATATGTAATCATAGCAAATAATATGTAATTAAAAATTTACTGATAAATATATGAAAAAATCAATCATTCTATATATTTAAAAATTAGACAAAATATAAATTTTAATTTTCATACATATCCAATAGTATTTATAATAATTTTCATATATATTTTTATCAGGTTTAAATTACAAAATAGGAATATATTATAAAAATATAGCTTAATTAAAAAATGCTTTTTAAACATTGTTTTGATATTTAATTCAAAAACTATTATTAATTATACAATATAAATTCATATATAAATAAATTATATGTGATAATTTTCTATTTAAAATTGAATTTTCCTTGTAATACAAATTTTATAAACAAAATTTATATATTTTAATTTTAATTTTATTAACACTTACTCAAGTTTTATCAATTCACATATAGTAAAAATTTTATTTTTCAAGTTATATAAGAAATATATTTATAAAT